GATTAATCACTTTTTTTTTTTTCTTTAACATTAGATAAGAATTTTTCATAAATATTGATCTAAGCTTGATCATTAAAAAATGTAAAAGTTGGAATATCTAAATTTCGAAAATACTGTTTTTAAATAATTTTATTGGCTTTTCATTTCTCTTAAATTTTTCAAAATATCTAATAATTGTAATTTTTGATAAAAGAATTCATTTTAATTCGATTCTAACTTCTTGAATTTTAATATTCTTTTTCAGGAATAAATTTTATTTTTATTTCTTATTAAAAATCTTATTTTATTTTTGATTTTTTTTTGAATTAATTCTTTTTTTATAATTTATCTTAAAAATTTTTATGTTTAGAATATTTAAAAAATTTTAATGAAAATTATAGTAATATATTTATATTATGATAATATATTTATATCTTTATAAATACAAAATGAAAATCTTCATTTTTATTATATCATATTGCATCATTATTTTTTTAATTGTTTTCAATTGCTTATCACTTTTCTTAAATAATTTTCTTAAATAATTACTTTACTATTATAGAAATTTTTTATATAATAATAATAGAAAGACATTAATAATAGGTAAAATATAAAAAATATTTCAATACTTCAATTAATATTATTCAAAATGATAAGATTTAGATTTATTAATTTTATTATTGATAAATGCAAACATTTTAACCAAATTAATATTGGTTTTTATTGATAACCATAATATATAATTTTTTTTATATATTATTTGATATATAATATCAAATAATATAATATTTTTTGATATATAATTATATATATATATATATATCTTTATTTTTATTTTATTAATTATTAATTAATAAACATTAACTATCTGTATATCTTTATATATTTAACTTTATATTATAGATTGGTAATTTTAATATTAAAAATTAGTGAACAGAAATATAATAAAAAAAATATAATAATAGAGAGAAATATATTGAATTCTAGAAATCGTATCGAATGAAGTATTACAAGAAAGCTCGTTCTAACGGTATAAAAATTCAACGAGGTTGTGTTCATCATGAATCATGCATGCGTACAATGCATTTATAATATAATAAACCATCTTCACTGTTTATCTTTCACAATCACTGTTTACAGATATAGATTATAAAAAATAAATTGAAATTAAGTTAAATACTTATGCGATTAAATATTTTAATTTTTGTTTAAGATATTACAATTAGGAAAATAATTTAAATGAAAAAATTTTCTTTTTTTTTTTTTTTTCTTTTCGCTTAAATTTTATTAATTCTATATATTTTTTTTTTAGACGAATTTTAAATTTTGAATATATTAATATAATGATAAAAAAAAGTAATAATTAGTTAAAATTTTTTTATTATTTAAGAGTAATTATACATTTATCTATATTTGATTTCGTTTCTCATAAATTCATTAAGTGATTGAGTACCATTGAAAATCAGCCAACAATGTCGTAATCGATCGTAATATAGTTGTATAATTAGACATGATAATTATAATATAATTATGCAATTCAAATTCATCATAATAACGTGTCATAACTATTACCAATTATATTATATCAAAGTCAATATTATGCACCTATTTTGATGAATTATTAAATATTCGTAGATACAAGCAATTTGTGACTCGATTATATAAATTTAATCTTCATTTAAAACTATATTTTGTATGATTTATTATTTTTTAAATTAACACAAAAATGATGAAATTTTAATAATTCGTTCATTTTAAAGTGAATAAATACTCGGATAAATAATAGGAATCGATCAGTTTTTTTTCAATACTATTCAAATTATTTCAGTTTAGGCTTTGAAATCTATCAAAATAATCGTTCACATATTCGAATACTTAAGTTCTATATTTAATTCGATTTATAATTAATGAAATTTCAAAGTATTCAATTTTTTATGAACGCGAACGAAAAAAAGTGATTTCTTGAGAAGAAAAAAAAAAAATAAATAAATAAAAACAAGGAAATTTCTCGATTAATAATAATAATCAATTGGAAGAAAAATCTGAAAAGTTTAAAAGTTAAAAGACAACAACTTGAGCCCTAATTTTCTCTATTTACTATCCACACGTAGTTAATCGAAAAAATAAAGAAAAGAAGAAAAAAAGAATATGAGGGTTGATGCGTCGAAGGCAATCGTCGTCGGTTGGAAACGATATCCTAGTGGTAGCGGTTGCGGGGGCGTTGAAGAGGCGAGAGCGCAGAAGGGAGAACGGAAATATGCAGTTCGTATTGAGGCAGGTCGGTGCAGCGCCACGAGTCGCGCTCCAGGCGCAGAGATCAATGTACCCGCCCCCTTCGTGCCTCGTCGTTGTCGACGTCCACGTCGAGTCCGCCTCGTAAATCCGGGAACAACTTCGAGATGCGTCCATGGGATCGTGAGGAGACTCCTTCATAAGTACACTTTTTTTTTTTTTCCTCTGCAATCGAGCGTGCAGTACCGGAAAATGGATGAGAATGTGTCGGTTACATAAGATTTCACAAAAGGTGTGTCGTCGATGAGGATGCCGGTTTAATTCACGTATGAAGATATTTCAATGAAGATGTCACGTCAAAATCGAAGGATTATTGGATAAAATGGAAACGTAAAAAGAATTCTCGAAAGAAAAGATAATGATATTTATAGTTGAAGAAAGAGGTGATTCGGTGTTATTTCAATCCCCAGAATAATACACACTGGTAAATCCAAATTTATCTAATTAGCGTTATGTTCTGTTTGAGTGAGTCGGAAACTAAGTTTGCAACGGTTAAAGGACAGAGAATAATGAACTTTTTGAAAAATAGAAATGAAGAAGACATTTTTGAAACGTAGAATCTAAATAGAAAATTTGTGCAATTTCAAGGTGACGACATGTCAACGAAGAAACGAAGCCTCTTGAAATGGTATTCAAACTGCTCGATAGAATTGATCATGTCGATCAATAATTTCTAGTCAACATTTTTTCATGAGAGAATCTAGTTCGACCACGTTCCTCGTCTCCTGATAATAAATGGTGACTTAGCGGAGTGACAGAGATCAAAGGTGGAGTTCGAAAAGCGTAGTGAGAGCAATGGAAAATGACGGACGAGCGTACTGGTGAGCCAGGTTGCACGGAGACACAGCTCGAGGGTGATGAGGACGACGTTCGACACGGTGAAGAACTGTGAAATTATCTCGTGATATGATGAATTTCCCATTCGACGTAACGAAACGAGAGAAGAAGAACGATAGATCTATGCTCTGCATATTAATGCTTTCTCCAAGGAACTGTAAATCGGAAGAGCCTGGGTGAAAGAGGGGATGGAAAAGAAATCCGGGAGTGTGAAGAAGAGGAACGGGATAGCCGATGATGCAATCATGCGAAATCCATCGAGCATACGGAAAACGTCCTTCCAACTGTCGTTTTCGTCGGTAGACGGAGATTAAAGAGACTGTTATGGGTGGGAAAGGGTGTGGAGGGTGAGAAGAAGACGAAAGAGAAAGAATTGCAAGAAGGAGAGGGGATAAAAGAGGAGAGTGCGCGTAAAAAAAAAAAAAAAAAAAAGGAAAAAAAAAGACGTATCGACGAACACAGAGAGAAGAAGAAGAAGAGGGATGTCGAGGAGAGAGAGAGGTCTTTTCTTCGTAGAGTGTTCTCGACCCTGTCCCAATTTCCAGGCTCGTGATATAGGCATGGACTCGAGGGCGCGATATTACCGGCAGCAAGATGCACATCAAGCGACACTCATAGTCGAAGGAACACGTTATATCTTGAGAATAGAAGGAAATTATTGAAAGTAATAATTGATTGAGGGAAATTGATTGGAGGAGTAGAGAGAGAAAGAGAAAGAAAGGGGGAAAAAAGGGGTGGAGAAGAAAGAAAGAGAGAGTATAAATATTAAAGGCGGACAGAGGGAGATGAGAAGGAGGATAGGAATACAGAAGAACGGGGTTCATGTGTATGAATTATCGATAGCGTCGTGTGTATAGGCAAAGCAGAATGTTCAAGAGCAGGATCTTCCAGGGCGATCTCAGCCCTGTCCCAATTCCGGGCAACTTGCAACAGTCCAGTACGTAATAATGAGGGAAACCCTTTACAGTTAGATCGATCGTTCGACGCACGTTTCGCGCAGGGGATCAATCCTTTGGGCTCTCTCTGACTTACGACCATGAATATGCGTTTCAAATTGTGCATTGTATTTTTTTCGTTTTTTATCTCCTTTGCCGTAAGTCATAAATTATAATTTCTTCTTGTTTCTTTGTCTTTGTTATCAAAATATTATAATATCGAAATGATCTTATTATTCATATATTATCATATATCACGTATAAACATTTCATATATTTAAATAACTGATTAAAATATATCAATATTATTAATAACAGTAATATCTTTGATACTAGTTATAAAAAGTATAGTACAATTACATTCTATCTATTCATTTCTTTCAATTGTATTAATTATTTCATCTAGAAAATTTAACATCCAAACAAATATTAATTTTCTTAAACTTCATTTCATCAAAAACATACGTATTCTTTTAATAATAACTGTGCTAACTTATTATCGAAATTACTCTATATTGAAATTAAAATAAAATTATAATAATTTCCTTCGAACAATCCATCCTCTATAAAAATCATCCTCATCTATATCAATTTTAATCCAATTTTAAATCCAAAGTTACACCATTTAGAAATCCACATTTTCTATCTATCTGTCAATCCAAAACTTACAATTTTAATTCCTATATAAATCCCTTCTTAAATCTCTATCCTACTCTTTTGAAACTCGAATACGATTTGTATTTGCACTCCCGATTATGGCCG